GAAACTAATGGTGTGCACACTTTGCTAGTAAGTTTCCTTAATTTTGTTAGCCAATACGTTTTCTTGGCAGATTTTTAGAAGGATGGGATTGCTCAAGAGAAGAGAATATTTGAGATCCACAAGAATGATAGTAGAGATGCAATGAAGCTGAGAAACAAGATGATGGCGAGAGTGAATATCTCTTTGTATCTCTTGTTCAGTATGCACAGTGAATACAAGCAGTCTATGACATTAAGGTATGGAATTGCTCCTGAGTGAGGTTATCTCTCTGTAATATATATCACAGAGATGACACAGATTAGTTCTGTGATAGGAGGCAATTTCTTCTGCTTGCCTGCCTGTCCTCATAAAATCCAGTGTCAGGTGGTAGAATAGGGTTCAGTTAACACTGGAAAAAGCCAGCACTGAAAACTAGTGATTAGAACCTGTCTTGTGGAGAAAGCAAGTCTGAATTCGAGCCAAAACATAGTTTTGATATCCCTCTGTTGGCTGACACAAGACAGACAAGCATTCCTTTCTTGGTTTCTCTATAATATTTGATGTTGCAACAATAAGAACCACTGTTCAGGATGATAGGGGCTCTAAAGAATGTGCTGAAGTGGCAGGAGTCCTTCCTGTCTGACTAATCCTGGAAAATTGCACCTGTTACCAGATTTTAATATTAGAGTAGTTCTACAGGGAAAAAATAGTTTCCAAATCAATATGAATCCAGTGGTTGAACTGTTTAGACCACTTGGACTTGAGCACCAGCAGTACCAATGGAGTCAAGTATGTTGGATCTTGCCATCTCAAAGTCTACAGAATAGTCTAGAGCTTGGACAGCATCAATTGACAGTGGAAGATTAGGATTGGTTGAAACAGAGCAAGAAAGAGGTGGTGTTAGTGAGCAGAAGATGCATTTTGAAGCCTTACTGTGTAGATTCTTGCTTCTCATTTGGCTGAAGATACACCTCCCCATTCGAACGGTCCAGCTTGCAGTTTAGGAGTGCTCTTGGATTCCTGGCTGATCACAAGGTCCCACATAGCAGCATCCACGAGTAATGCTTTGGCTGGGAAGCGGTCCCATCCTGGCGAATGGTGACCTGGCCTTGGTTATTTGTGCCTTCGTCACTCCTTGGCTGGATTAGAGCAATATGAGATACCTGGGCATGAAGCTGCTCGTGCTTGGGGAACTAGCTAGTGCAAAATGCTGCAGCGTGTGTTCGTGATGCCTTGTGTCACTGGGAAAACACCAGGTGGTTCTTTACTTTTTCTTCTACCTTCCTAGGTAGCTCTAAAATTGCTTTCAGGATCTTAATCCCTATCCTTTAGCAGCAAATGGTCTATGCCTGCAATAAGTAATAGATGGCTTACACTTCTTAATGAAGTGGCCAGAAACGTGATTCCTTCTATTAATAGATGAAAGATTCCTTGGAAAGTTATTCTAATCTCAGTTTAACACCGAGACAATCTTGACAATTATTTAAAGTTTAGCACTTTCCATTCGTGCTGTAAAGACCTTTCCTTTGACCAGAGTGTCTCTAAAAGTGAACTCTAAAATCCTGTCCAAACAGGATGTTCCACAGCAGGCTGGTGACTCGCTCTCCTTCCTGGACAGATCCAATATGGTAGATAAATTGTCTTCTTATTACATTTCAAGAAAGATAATGATGTGTAGCATGAAAAGCTGTATAAGTTTTGAGTACTAAAGGTATCTGTAACTGGTCCTGTAGATATTGTCCTAAACCAGTGCTAAACATGAAGTGAGGATGTAGACTCTTGCTAGCATTATGTTTGTGTTCTGTGACCATTCTAACACCTACAGGCTATTGATGGGTGCTCTAGAATAATTTGGTTTTCCTGTTTGGGATTTGCAGATTTCTCTTTTGCATAAGGATAATAAGGTTGTCAGCCCAACTCCTAGAGAATGTATTTGGCTGCAGTGTGAGTCTGTTGCTTAAATCTTTTTTTTTTTCTTTCTGAAAGAAAGAATCCTTTTTTTGAAAGCCAGTGTTGGAGGAAGGTCTTTGGAAAAAGAAACTGCTATAATTTGAAAGGTGCAATGCTGTTGATAAGATGTATTGACTAGCTCTGGCAGGTGTTGATATCCTCAGGTTGCTGATAATGTTCATGATTAGAAAGTAACATATTGGTAAGTGTGGGGGAAAACTTCACCCTCTGCTTTAAGTCCTTGGAAATATTGAGGATACCGTGCCTTTCTGAAATTCCTTCATTTTTTCTGGGCTGAGGATGTGGTTACCAGGATCATATCAACAATGCTTGAGTGTGCTGCTTATTGGTGATTGATGAAGTGGAGATTTTAAAGCTATAATTAAGAACAAATTGCATGATGAGACATGTCATTATTTTCAAACCTGAACTGCTAAGTCCAAGAAACTTCCAGTTAAATTGAAAATAAGTTCCAATATTTTTAAGATGTGGAAATATGTGGAAAGGGGATCCAAACTTTCAAACTTTCTGTTGCCAACTGCCCTAACTTCACACGTAGTTAATGATCAAAAAAAAAATGGTGCAAGAATTGCGTGAAGGTAGGAGAGAATTTATTTTTCTTTCTTTCTTTTTCTTATCTCCTTCTTAACCTTTCCATTCATGAGTTAGTTTCTCCTTTGGCAGAAAACTCAATTGTATCTTGGAAGTTGCAGCGTGGAGTCTTTTTGTTTGTTTTCTGCTTCCACCTCTGTATGTAAGAAGTTTATGTGCCTCCTCATGGATTTGCTGGTATCGCTCTGGAGGGGGAGAAGAGGGAGGAAAGGAGAGAGCATGAGAGTTCTCGGAATGGCTACCAGGGGAGGGTGGAAGTGGCTTCAGTTGCACCAGGAAATGAGATTTTGGCAGATTTTTCTAAATAAAGTGTGAGGTGTTTTTGTTTTGTTTTTTTGTTTGATTGTGTTTTGTAGCATGCCATTGGATTTTTGTGTATAGTTTAGTTTTGTGTGAAAGCTTCCTTCCCTTATGGAAGGCAGTAGGAAAAGGATGAAGAGATGTAGCTATTTTTAAAGCAAAGGTGGGGATGCGTTCCTTTCTGGACACCAAAGTCATTGCACAGCTGCGCTGTTTCTAAACTCCCCTCCCTTTCTCCCTCTATTTTTCCTTCCTATTTGCTTGCTTTGATGGCTCACTGAACCACTGTCCTGTTCCTGCAGCTGACCCTGCCGTACAGGCCTGGTACTTTCTTTCCCTTTCACTAGGGCACCTTGGAATATTCCGTGTCTGACCTCTTTCTCCTTCTCCCTTCTCTTTTGAGACATTGACAACTTAAGGTGTTGCTGTGGGAGGATGGTTAGAATGGAGAGGACTTTGTAGTGGAGCATTTGCTGTTACAGCAGCAGTTTTGGTCAATCATATTGGTCATACAGGTAGTTCGGCCAACAGGATGTCCTGGATTCTGTCTTTCCTCTTTGTTTTATGGATTTTCTCCAAAATTTGGTCAACCTTAAAATATACCTTAAAACAGGAATTTATCACATACAGCATAATAAAATCATTATATTATGCCTAACTTGATGACTCAGCCTTTTTTGGGTATGAGTTTTACAGATGTCACAACAAATAGTATTATCGTCTGCTTAATGTGTGTAGCGTGTGTGTGTGAGGTTGTGACCCACTCCTAAAATGGAGATACTGCCCTCTTTCTGTCCTGATTCTGCATCCTATCACTTACACTCTGGGCATGAGAGAGGAATCTGCAGCTGGCTGACGGTTAATTGTGTTTTTTTTAATAATTGTTCAAGTGACTTTTCAGTCAGATCCATGAACTGATCTTAATTACCTGTGTGGTTTGTGCAGCAGCTCAAGGAGGTTGTGTGGAATGTTATGTTGACCGAAAGGGACTGGTCAAATGTGCCACCACAAGCATTTCTGTGGCCATGCAGGAAACTGATCTCAGATGACTAACAACCTTGCGAGAAATGGCTTGTGCCAGTGTTGTACAGGTAGAAGGAAGGTATGTAAGTAAGGAAGGAGAGTGTTGCCAGCCCACCTCTGAAAGCCACTGAAAAAGTTCCTTATCACATTATACCTTTCTGTTTGTAGTTGTGGGTCTGAGCGCTGATCTGCTCTTGGTGATGAAGTACTTAGTTGTAGTACAGGAGTGCCTTTAATCAAGAAGCTACTAGTGATATTTCTGTAATGAAGAGGCTGATTTGTGGATAGGGATGGTTATAACAAAGTTCAAACAAACAACAGGCTTTGGTTCTAGACAAACTAAAACAATGACTTGCTACTGATAGCTCTCTTTCCTCAAGTCCCTTGGTCCTTTCCTTGTACGTAAATTCTGTGATATCTTTGTGATACAGAAGAGCTGAGCTGTCCTCACGTGGTCTCCAAACGACAGCAGCCTGGAGAAGCTGCCACCCTGTTGGACGACGTGCTTTGGCGGGCAAATTGTGCCTGGTTTCAAGAATCTTTCTTGAAAAAGAAGGTTGCCAGCTGTAGTCTCTGTAGGGGTGATGCTCCTTGTGGTGGTAGAAACATGATTCCACCCATAACCTTTCCTAAGGCATTCTTGGCATATACAAGAAGTGAGCTATGCTCATATGAGATTTCAGGGAATATTGACTCCAGCATACATACATATTATGGTCACTATACATACATATTATGTGCATTTCCCAGGAACATAGCTGCTTATGCATTCAAAGCAGCTCTTGTTAAATTGAAGAGACTGAAGCTGAGTGGCCTGGCTAGGATGTCTGCAGGCCACAAGTCTCAGCAGTCAAGAAAAATACTCCTAGCAGAACGTTAGGCCGTGAAAACTCCCAAACGCACAAGAACAAATGGAACTCTCTGCCCTGAGATGCTGAAAGCAAGACTGTGTGCACCTTCATGTGGCCTTAGAGAATAAGCTGTTTTTATTTTCCTGGGGAGAGGTTGCATTTGATGAAATCTCATTGGGCACGTCCTTTTTCTAGCTGGTGTGATGCAGTGGCCTGTATAGCAGGACATGTTTAGCAGACATGTAACACTTTCAAGAAACTGTAAATCTTTATTCTTTTTTATAGGTTTGCAACTGTGAGGTATGACCAGACATCCAAGAACATTAAAAATCAGTTTATGCATCTGACCAACTACAGTGTCAACAAGAAGAGTGGAGATTATGTCAGGTACTTGGATGGAAAATGGAACCTGGTGTCTGGGGATTGGGTCAATTTACCTGAGTTGATGTGTGGTTGCTGGCAATCCTCAGGATAGGCCAGTGGTGTGAGCTTGCTCGTTTGATTTATTTTAGCTGTGACGATCCTGAAGTAGAGGATTATGGAAACAAGTGGAGCATGAGTGCAATGCTGAGGTACTTAAAACAAGAGGGGAGAGACACTGCAGGTCAGTAGAGATCTTGTTGTTTTCTTCCTTTGCTGGATCTCGGCCATCCTCCCTGTAAGAATATTAAGAAAAGTCAGGGAAAAGCCATAGTGAGTTCCATTTACCATCAGAACAGGGTGGAGGGAAATGTTCCTTACAGCTAATTCACTAGGGCTGTGGACTTGCTCTCTATTCTGAGAGATGAGTCCTCCCCCTTCCCTTTTGCAAATAATATTCTGAGACTTCCTCAGGGTGTGTTTCTTAATATTTTACCTACATTTCCCGTTTCTTAAGGTCATCCCATCCCTTCTAAAAGCTTCCCTCCCTCTTCTGCTCCCATGGCCTGCTCAGTCTGATGAGTGACCAACCTCTGGAGAACTGTGCCAGTTTGAATGACTCTTGGATGTGGTGTCATCTTTCCATGGCTCAGGTTTTTGCTGAGTGTTTTCACTTCAGTCTGTGTTCATATAAAATAGCTCCCTCTTCCACACTTTTGCCGGGTCTGCTGGGAGTAAATGCAGCTGCAGAGCAGAGTCGAGGTATATCCTTTCTTAAGGAATAAATTTCCTGTGATACTGAGTTGTCAGTAACACTGATAGCAGCTATGCCCATTTGAGAGTATTGCCAGGGAATACTTAGATGGTGGAGGAAGGGTCTGAATCTGGCTTTCAAATGGAAGTAGACTTTTTGCCCCATCGTGTGCATGCATGGCTATCCGATCACTTGCACCATACATTTTTTGTTAAATCAGTTGTACACAACTGGTTATTTGATACTATTTTCCCTTCTAGTCTAAGATGTATAATGCACACTCTTCTGACTAAGTTAACGGCTGAGCAATGAGAAGGTTTCACTGTAAACTGTTATAAAACTTCTTGCACCTTTCTCTGATGCATCTAGTTCTGGTCATAGGGAAGCAGAATGCTGGCTGGAGAGTGCTGGCCCTGTCTGAGCTGGCAAGTGTTTTGTGCTCTGGAATGTTTATGTGCACTTTGGCATTCCCATGCTTCCACTGGGCACAGCAACTCACGTCTGACTCTGCTTGCTTGTTCCCTAGCGTTTGTTCAAGTCCCTGCATAATGTCTTCTGAGCTTGAAAAATAGTAACTGTAGAACTAAACTGAACTCCCTAGTTAAGTGGTTTGTACTGAATGTTCTTTGGGAAAAGGATTCCCAAGTGTCTGCATGACTTTGTTGGAGTTTTTGGTGTGTTTGCTTGTTTTCTCTTTGAGGGGGGTGGGAGGGAGGGAGGGTGCTGTCACCTCTAGTAACTTTTCAGTCTAGGACTCCACTCTTTGTTCATTCCCTTCATCTCTCCCTTCTCTTACTTGCCCTTGAGCACAGAAACTAGGGGTGTTGTTCTCTGTATTGCATGAGTCATCTCAAGTCCAATGTATGACCCATGTCTTTGTCTAATACATATCTCATCTTGCCTTTTGCTCCCTGTCTCTGTTCTGCTGCTGTGTCCTGAGCTCTGTTTTCAGGCTTGTGTAGGAGATGGGGAGAGCTTCCTTACCAAAACTGCAGAGTGCCTGTAGGCCAGCAGGCCAGGGTCCTGTCACCAATCATATCATTATGAAATGATCTGTAAATCATAGTTGAGGAACAGCTGCTTTAGAGGAAGGTGCAACATCACAGAACAGTTAATTCATAAAAATTCACAAGAAAACTTATTTTGTATCTCAATGGCTTTGGCTTATACCCTGTAGTTTGAGGGTTTATCTTCTAGTGCACTCTTAATACTTCCTGATGGTGTGATCAGACTCCAGCTGACTTGTGCTGATGTGCTTGCCACTTGTTCCTGCTCACTCCCCCTATACATGTACTCACTTACATCATACTCGCCTGTGAGCATTTTTTACTGAAATACTTATGCATGTACCTGCCTGCTTGCATGGATTTCCATCTAAACATTATGGCTTTGTTATTCATAGGCTCTGAAGTGCTTTGATTCACAAGGATATGTTTCCATATGCATATATTCATGCTTTTCTAGATATTCTGTGCTGCTTCTCAGTCTACTTTCTTTTTTCTTCTCCCCTTCCCCTTTGCAGCATTGATGGCCAGCGTGGAGGACCTGATTATCAAGACTGTACTTTCTGCTGAGCTGTTCATTGCTGCAGCCTGTAAAACTTTTCTTTCTCATCGCGGCAGCTGCTTTGGTAAGGAACTGAATCTTCATTGATTAGTTGTTAATTGCTGTTTGCAGCTTCCAGCTTTCCAGTGTTAGATTAATGTTGATTTCCTTTCTCTCACTGTAGGCCTCTCTGAGGTTCAGGGGTCTACGATGTACCAGTGTCATCCATCAGAGTCTGATGCTAGAATAGAGGATGATGAAAAGGGGCCTGGGGGGGGTGTTAGGAAGTTACAGTCCCATAGGTGCACTTGCTGCAAAGGGTAATCGATTTAAACATCCCTTCAGAGCATTTAATACTTACTGTTGGGCTAGATAGCTGAATGTAGCACTAAATTACTGTGCCTTTTGTCTGAGGAGCAGGGAGGAATGAGTAAGGAAGTGCCTGGAATGACAGTACTGAGTGATGCTTCTGTGCTTGTGTGAGAGGACCACACGGCGGCGTCGAAGCCCGTTTCTGCGGGAAGCTGGATGCAGAACAATGTGCTGGCAAAGGGTTCTGAGAACTCGCTGGCAGCAGAGGCTGGGAAGAGTTCCAGAAAGCAGCGGCTGGTACCACAGTGTACCTTCTCCTGCTTTCCAGTGGCTGCTTCCCAACCTTCCCTAAAGCGGCCTCCTCCTGCTCTCAGCTGCCCTCTGCACACACACATACACACACGAGATAGGAGTTTCTGGGCAAATCTATAAATTAGCTTCAAATAGTTGGTGCTTAAATCAGTGACCAAGTTTAACTTAGACTATCATGTGTTTAAGTACTGGGAGGGACTTATATTTAAACTGACAGGTAAATCTACTTGTGTGGTCCTTGCATTGTACTTGAGTGTTTGCAGTCCTGCAGCTTTCCCCATGCTGGCATAGATGCTGTCATCATTGAATTTTCAGGAGTTGTGAGACTTGGTGAAGAATCCAAGGAGGAGCCCTGGCTGATGCACTGTTTGCTTGCCTGATAAACTCTCATCTTCCTCGCTGGCCTTAGCTTGGCCTAAGTGACTCTGTCTTCTTTCAGAGTTGGAAGAGAACCTTGGTATAGATGGAGAGTTGTAAGTTAGATAATTGCTTCTAATGAAGTAGCAGTTTAGCTACTCTAAGAATATCAACAACTGGATTTAAAAAAAAAAAAAAAACTTAACTGCTGCTGTTTTGTTTCTCCCTTTTCCTCTCAGTTGTTTCTAGTTTTCTGAGCTGCTTATGTGGAAACTAATGTTCCTCATGTACTTTTTGCTGGGCCTGGCTTTGAGGTTATCCCACTTCCTGCTGCCTCCCCAGGGCTGTACTAACCACCCTCTCAGATGCTCCCCCACAAATAAACTGTTTTGTTCCATTTGTTTCAGTGTAAACATGAATTAAGAGCTTCCCAGGAAAGAGAGCTTAAGTAGGAGCCACACTGCTTCCCTAGGGAACCAGCAGCATTCCCAGAGCTCAATGCTCTCTGCCACCTTCCCCCACAATTAAATGGTGGTCCTCATCCCAAGCATTTGAGCTGTCCTTGTCATTCTGTCCAGCTCATTCTTCATCTCTGTGTCTTGTTCTGACCCTCTTTGGCCTTGCCACTTTTAACCCTGTTGTAAAAAGGCTGCTTTTTTTCTCTCGCTGGAAATATTCAGAATGTCTGGATTTCTAGCCATTTCTGTGAATGAGCGCAGGGAGAAAACTGGGAGTGAAGATTTCAAGGCAGCATGAAGAGTCTCCCAAGAGCCTGTGTATTTTTTTTATTGTTGTTTTCCCTTTTACTGGGCTGTGAACAATGAAACTGCACATATCCCCTGAGAGATCGATCGTTTAAAAACAATCTGAGTTCTGAAACCTGTATCTGAAATTCAGATGCAGAGGAAGATCTTGGTTGAAAAGAGCCTAGAAAAATGAGTACCTTGATGTATTTTCTAGTCTCTGTAATGCTGTTGGGGATGAGGGAGGGCAGAACACCAGCACAATTTCCACTTTTTTTTTTCCTAAAAATTAAATTACAAGTCCTTGTTTGTTTAGATCAGGCTGACCACTTTTTTCCTCTAACAGTTTAGATCTCCTGCTGTGATGCTTCCTTCCTTTCCCAAGTGTTTTCTGTACAGTATACTTGCTTTTTCTTGGATGTAAAGGAAGAAAAATGTAATGTCTTACATTAAGGCTGTGGAGAAATCTTATGGAGTAGAATATAATTGCTTGAGTGTGAACTTGGTGGGAATCCTAGGACAAATATCCTATCCCCTGTGCTTTTTAAAAACTGACAAACAGGCTTACCAAAAACACTGGGGGGAAAAAAACCCCAAACTTTTAACTCCGATGACGAAGTGTTTATTCCTTTGATTTATATTGTTCTGCAATTAATACTTCTGGACAGTAGTTCTCAGTAATCAAATTAGGAAGTTGGTTTACATCTAAGCAGGCTTGGTCATTGGTCCTCTTATGTACTACTTCTGGAAATATCCTTGGTTCTTCCTTTTGGTAGAAGACGACTTTTTTTCAAAGACATCTCCTGAGTCTGTCTGACATAGCCCATGATTCAGGCACATTTTTAGACAGTTAGGATATAGTCACTTTGTGTGTAAAAGGGTGGGGGAAGAGGAGAGTGTGATTGTATGTACAAGGCAGTGGTGATGCTCCTATTCAAACACAGGTATGGACCCCTTTCCCTAGTCTGTGGTGGAAAATGCCAATCTGAAGGCAGAAGAATAAAGGGAGAATATTCTGTTATCTGTTCAGGGGCAAAAGCATTATTCCCAAAGAGGCAAAGATATTCCAGTGTGGGAACAAAAGTACTTGGATGATTGTTAGTTTCTTGCAACCCTGAAAGACAGTATCTTCTTATTCCTGTATGAATATGTATGAAGTTAAAAAGATGCAGGATTCTGGCAGCATTGGGCTAACCGTGAGGGTTGGTGGGAATTTTGCACCCTGTGTGCGGGCTTGCAGAGGTGGCTACGTGTGAGCAGGAGGTGGGATGGGGTGCGCGTGCCCAAGCCGGTTGAAGTGCTCGCTGTGCGCCCTGCCGAGCGTGCGCTTCCGGGGGGGCCCGAGGGGCAGCCCCCCTCCTTGGCAGGGCTCAGGGTGGCCGGAGAGATAAGCGGGTGCCTGGCTTCTGCAAGGGTGCCATGTTGCGCCATTTGTTCTTCTTACCCAAACATGAGTCTCCAGAAGCAACAGAGCAAGTTCCCTGTTTCGTTCCCAGCATGACCCAAGCCAGCAGTGGGACTGCTGAGCTCTGCTGCATCCAAAAGGGCAGGATAGGATAATTTGCATGCTGCTTGATTCCCGCCAAGGAAGCGAGTGTGTTGCTCAGTGGCTTGAGGCTGAATTGGTCTTGCTTATGCTTCTAATCATGTCTGCATCAAGATCGTATACAGCAAACTCTTGCATTATTTGTGTGATGCTGACTACAGGAGCAGTACTTTACCCCAAACTTTGTCCAGAGTAGAGGCTTTTTTCTGATGTTTTTACAGGAGCAGTACTTTACCCCAAACTTTATGTCCAGAGTAGAAGCTTTTTTCTGATGTTTTTTTAATACAAGAGGTTTGCTTGCCAAATGCTAAACTGCTAAGTCCTTCTGTGGAATATCAAGAATGTTTCTGGACCTGATGGTGATAGCCCCTAACATGTAGACTGTTTGTATCCTTGGAGCTGTTAAGCTGTATTCTGCCAGAGATCAGATACTGTAGCATCAATAGCTAAAGTGGTCTCTAGGAATTTATTGACTTAAATACAAAATACTCTACATTCTCTGAAACCTTAAACTTGCCAGTATGTTTCACTAAGCTGCATTTCTATTGCTAGTCTTAGTAGTTTTTCTCATTTATACAGTGTAGTTGCTGCTTGGATGAATTTGTAGCACACATAAGTTTTGTAACTTAATTTTGTGATGTGTGCTGTCATTATAAGCATGTACTGCAGAACAGCTTTGTAGCTCAGAAGTATTAAGGGAAAAAGGAAAAAAAAATGGTGTTACAAGTGTAGTTTCTTGCACTAAACATGTCTTTAAATGTGCCACTACTCAAAATCAGGCCGTTTATTGCAAAAGCAGAAGCACACTATGCAGCTCTTTTTAGATTTGTGTGTGTCACTTTAAAGCCTCAGGTTTGCTCCCATTTAATTGCAGAATATATCTTTTGTAGTAAGAATTTCTTTGTGTGAAGAGGGTGGGTACAGAAATGCATCATCCAAGCTGATCCTCAGTGAAGAAGCTGAGGACAAAGACCAAAATTACACTAACTCTTCTGGAATTATTTATTCTGTGAGAAAATCATAAAAACATTGTTTACAATGCAGACTATTGCTTGTGACTTAGTTGCTAGGCTTACAGAGAATATCGAATTCTTTGGGGATATTTACTAAAACAGATTGTTGGTGCCCTCTTCGACAGGGCTGTAATCCAGACTTGTATGTGGTAGTTGACCAGAACTGAAAAGCTTCAGAGTATCTCTAGTCTTCATCTTATTGCTTAACTAATGACCCTGGCATAAGTCAGATGGCTGACCTATTGCCTCAGACTTTAGTCTGAAGCTAGCACGTCTCCTGGGGGGACTGGGAAGCTCTGTCAGCAATGACTTCCACAACAGTGGGAAGGAAGTGGCTATCCTTGCTGAGTCTTGACAACAGTTGGTATTTTCTGATATAATTTGATTCTCCTCAGCAATCTGCAAGAATGAGACATATTTTTGTGAATTGTAGTAGCAAGGGAAGGCACTGTAAAATCTTTATCTTAGTATCCTCTATTCTTCCTTAATAATAAGAGTTATAATAATAATAAGATGGGCTGTCACAAACCTACCATTGCCACCATTTCTGGAGAGAGGCTAGAATGCATTTCTATTTCAATCCTTAACGTTCCTTCCCTCTCCATACAGGAGGAAAGGGTAGTCTTACTGAAGCTGGTATTTGTAGAGGATACACTCTGATCTTTACCATACTCATGTAATTGTACATTTTTGTTCTACCTGCATGTAAATTAGAAATTTTGTTTCTTTATTTTTTACAAATGAAGGTAGAGCTTCACAGTAGGAGGGTTCTTTTTTCAGTTTTTAATCTAGGTAGCTCATTTTCCAAATGTAGGAAAAAAAAAAAAGGTCGTGGAGACATTTCTGGGACAGTTTGAATGACAAGCTATTAAACTTCTATTTGTGTTATAGTACTCCAATCAGATTTGAAGACCTTTTTGGGCTAAGCCCCATGTAAGTACCTGCAACGCTTGGTGCAGTTGCCAAAACTTGAATCTTGTTTCACTTGTAGATGTCCTTGGGTAGCAAAGACATCTGTGGATAAGACCCCAGATCTGTGAGAAACCCGGGCCCTGTAGCATGTCAGTGGAGGCCAGCTAGGAGATGCTGGAGTATTGCAGATGCCAGTAGATGTTTAGCAGCTGGACTGAGTCAAAATGGCTTCTCCTGAGAGCTTACTGTCCCAATAAACGAGGCAGGCACAAGGGAGAGGAATGTCTAGCACCAGCAGCATGGTCAGGGGACAGGGCTATCCAGTGTCAAGAAGCTTCCCGTGTATGTTTGTAAATGAGGATAGGCAGTGAGTAATCAGGACTACTGGGGTGGGAAAAAGGGAGGTTTAAATAACAAGTGAATGGGAAGGGAGACAGTGTGGGAGGGCATGAGAGACTTGAAGAGCAAAAATGTTAGCAAAGGTCTTAGAGGGGCAGAGGGCTGGAATGGCCAGCAGCAGAAGCAGCAACTAGTCAAAACAAAATGCTCCCTTCCTGCCTCCGGCTGGGAGGTCACAGGCCCCTTGTTGCTTCTCTGCCTGGGGGGTGAGCAGCCTGTCCACTTGAGCTTGCTGAGAGTCACAGCTCTTCACTTAAACATGGGATTGTCTTTTGAAATGATATTATTAAAATTATTAGAGATTTCTTCTGTTCAAAATGCTTGGGTAATGTTTACACTCAGAATCCCCACCTCTTCCTTTTTCTTCTTCTGCAGCCAAATGTAGATTTAGCCTCGTTCTTTGGAGTGAACCAACTGTTTAACTCTGATATTTTCCTTCTCACTGCCTGTCTGGCTACAGGGCTCAGAAAAGTGAGCAGGCAACACTCAACTCTGCTGCCATTTCTTTCCCTTCCAAGTCGCCCCCACAGCCCATGAACTTCCCATCACAAGCCCCATGAGCTCACACACAGCTGTCTGCATAGGAGGATCTCATCAAGCAGTCCAGCTCCCTGGAATGAATGTCAGACAGGCGACAAAATACGGGGGACAGAACCCGAGGAAGACAGCATGGCAAAGAAATTCTCCTGCCTTCACTGCAGACGCTAGGGAACTGGTTAATTCTGTGGAAAATCCCTCTTCTCTGCCAACACCCAGTTATGAAAACATGTGCACAAGTTGCACTGAGGAACATAATGTTTCTTAATGCTGAAGGAGGGAATTGCAGTAATCCCAACTCCTTATTTAAAATCACCTTTGTGACTTTATCATCCTTCTTGCAACTCTATCCCAAAATATAGGAAACGTGCTGTATACAGTGAAACAATAAAATCAGTTCTGGAATGGAAGCTCGCTTCAATGCGACCTGTACAGAGCACAATAGGTTTAGCAAGCATAATAGCTTATGAGCAAGAGGGACGCATAAGTGAGATAAATAGAAATTACCTAATAGAGACCCATGTTGCACGCTACCTGGATGCTTAAAGGTGTCATTGGTTGAATTTGCTGTGTTTGCTGTGTTTTCAGAGCTGTATGGTTTTGATGTCCTTATTGATACCACTCTCAAGCCCTGGCTATTGGAAGTGAACTTATCCCCATCGCTGGCCTGGTAAGTGATTCCCAGTTTCATAAGAGGGAGGGCCTGGGACTTCAGTCCAGCTCTTGTTGGCTATGACTGTCTTTGGAACTTGTGTTCCTAGGGGGCATGGTTTCGTGAGGCGTGCAGAGTATTTGTTCTATTGCTAAGAGCTGACAGAGGACAGTCCTTTCCTTTTTCCTTTGCATAAACAAACTCATTGCAGCAATAGGTTTTGAAAGAACCCAGTTGGGATTCCATTTTCCTTTTAATTATTTCTCTTCCGCAGTCCATCACCATTGTTAACGCTTCATAAGCTCCCATCATAGGCAAATTTTGAAACTCTCCAGACTATTGTGTTGGGTTTCAATCTCCTTGGCCCAGTAGACGCTTTAAGATTTTGGAGGCAAAGCACTGTTCAGGCGTTATGCTGGGCTGGAGTATATAGGTGCATGCTTGCACTCAGATTATTGGTCTTCCTGTAAAGTCCATAGTGTGAATACCCTCTTGGCCCTTACTCTGACCTCAAACTCTAATGACACTTCAGGATTTCTTTTTGTAGAGGTACAGACGAGTGTTTTCTGGACTAAACATTAACTTTATGAGAGTGTAGGTGCATAATATATTTTTATCTCAAAGATATTGCAGTATTAATTAGCTTGAAATTATACATATATTTTTGGAATAACCATCTCTACACCTGTCTTATCCTGCATTCTGATTATTTCAATGTACATTTCTATCTCACTGCTGCAGCTTCCACAATACCCATTTTTCTTTTAGTTGCAATGAGAATATTTCCACAACATTTCATCTCCCGGTTTGTTGGTTCTCACTCATACGTGCGCACAGTGACTTTAAAGCTAATTCATGTTTGCATCCTTTGCTCTGTTTTGTTATGATTGCTAGCTTCGTTGCCCAAATTGTTGGCATCTTTCACTCTGCTGTAGAAAAGGGCTTGTTTCTCAGCTGTGAAGAAAACAAACTTTGCTTATCTTAAACTTATGCTTAAATTTTACTCTATTCATTGTTGCTTGGGTTTTACTCTATTCATTGTTGTTCCCACTGGATAGAAATAAGTATGCTTTCTGCCTGCCCCCACTGTCTGATATCTCTGTATTCTGTCACTTTTTCTTATCAGTTGTCCTTATCCATCAGAGCTGACCCATATGACTTCATTATTTTATGTGGAAGAGACATAGGTAATTGTTGTTTTTAAAAAATATGCGGCAAACTTCCATTCCATGAAATGCAGTATAGATGCATTCAAAGAATTTTTTTTCTGGTCAAGCAGAACAAATTTGAGGCTGCACATGTTGACTTCAAAGAGTAAATCTGGGAAAATGGTTAAAATCAAGAGACACCATATTTATAAACAGAAATAGGTTAATATTTTGCCATTTTCTGTTTACCTATATGTATTAGTCACCCGGGTGCTTGTGTGTTCTCTGATGATCATGTTAAGGACCAATGCAAAGAAAATGTGTTGGAAAGCATTGGGTATTGATGCAGTCCTCTCATTTCATATCAGATAAATAATTCATTTTGTCCTTTATTCCATGTGGGGATAGTGATGCTCCATTGGACCTGAAGATCAAAGCTAGCATGCTCTCAGATATGTTCACCCTTGTAGGTGAGTGTAACAAAAAGCTGCTTGAATATTTCTCGTTTAAAACCAATAAAAGCTATGTTTGAGCTGCATGTTGGAAAGCTATAATAAGTTATGACACTGGATTTTTTTTAGCGTAACAGAGGAGAATTCAGGTTAAAGAGAGCAGCTGCACTTAGTTTGGGGAAATTTTATGAGGTATTTTATTGGTATTCATCCTGTGACTAATCCTCAGCTCAGTGATACTGAGGTGATGTTAAAGGTCTCTAGTTTGTTTTTTGGAGATGATACCCATCTCCACTGTAGTGTTTAAAGAAATTTTTAGGCAGGTTACTTCTGTTAAACAGGCAACTTGAGTATTTTTTTTTTTTTAAGTCACCAATCATTTTAGGTGAATTATTGGTGAGACTGTGTGGATTTTCTTGTTAGACTTTGTAGACCTTGAGTCAAGATTGTGAAAGCTACATGACTTTCCAGTACACGGTACCTTTCAGGCGTTCCTCAAACATCTTGGTTTGGTTACTTGAGCAACCCTAGGTTACCCTAAAGTAGAAAGAACTGTCATCAAGTTGCTGCTCAGTTGTTTAAGAAAGGGAGTATATCTATGTGTTGTTACTCAGCAGCCCATCTTAAGTACTTAATTTTGAAGCAAGTTCCTAAAATGTAATGCAGTGTGCAAACTTTGAGTTTTAAAAAAGTCAGACAAAGAAAGAAAATCTTGGGGCTTTGGGGACTTGGACAAAGACAGGAGGGCCATATGTAAGCTTACATCATCAACAGAAATATGAGGTTTATATTTTGGAGTTTTTCTCTCTTTAAAAGTTCTCATATGGCTCCTGATCCCCCTAGGCTTCGTATGCCAGGATCCAGGCCAGCGGTCAAGCCGGGCAGTTTATCACTCATCTGAATCTGTCAGGAGAAATCCATACCAGAAGCCTCAGGTAAGTGACTTAAGCCAGAGCCGACGAGAACAGCAAGAAACCTTTTTCCATTCAATTTGCCTCCAAGGCTCAAAGAACCACAGTGAATGAATGAGGTGCTCTGGACTTCTGACATAAGTAAATGAGAAGAAACTCATGAATGCAGCTGAGTTATGGGCTTTTCAGCCAATTGCATTTTGTTGTGGGCAGTAAGCTTCCAGAACCCTATAGCTTTATGAAGATGTTTCTTTTGAAGCAGAAAGTGCTTTTGCATTTGAAATTCAAACCTTTCCTCCCAGAATCTTCCCCTTCCCTTGGTTCCTTGGGCTGAGGCCTCACGTGGCTTGCTGTGACTACCCATTACCTCTTCTGTTTGGATAGTGCTTTCTTAGCACTGTAGTGTTTAAAGGCAGCTCTGTCCTCTGTCTCTTTCTGGCTACCAGATAAATCCCTTAAATATCTGTGATGCTGGGGCACCTGCAAATGGCAGGGAGATCCCCTGTTTCATTTGTTTTTTCAAAGGTGTTTCTCATGAGACAGATATGCAAGAAGTGAATCCTGAGTCAAGGTTTTTAGTGCCAGTGAATATATCCCAGCTCTCTACAGATGGAACATGCACTCCTGTGAGTGATATGTGGCATTGGTGTTTAGGTCAACTCAAGTAGGAAATTAAAAGTCATTTTTGTTCAGTGACAGAATAACAGCACAGTATCCATTGTAGCACATGGAAAACTCCATACAAATTGTCATCCTTTTCTTGTAAAACTCAGAACCTGGAATCACTGTGAGATGTGATAACAAAGATGACATTTGAGTATCTATGAGACACATATCTACAGCTTCTGAACCCAGCTTAAAAGATGGGATATTGTACAGATTTATGTGACTATCAAAGAGGTCTCTATGACACGTAAAAGGTATATGAGATAAATCGGACACCATTCTAAAAAGAATGAATAGCTTTCTTAGAGCAGTTAGATCAGACCCCAGTGCCTAGAAGTCTTTTTGTTTTTTTCTTCAACTCTTTGAAAGTATTCAGAGAAGACAGTTTAGAGAATTGACCAGTTGCAAAAAAATGAATTTTATGGACCATTTTAACTTGATCGATTTTGCTTAAAAGCTAAATTTCATATTAGAAAGCAGTAGATAGGGCTACTCTTTTAGGACATACCTTCCCATCACCTATCTCGTATGTTTCACTTACAAAGAACAGCTTTCTAATATGATGATCAAGTTTTAGAGCTTTTTTAGTAGCTAAATGGAAAACTTGTGGGTAAATGGGTGTAAAGGTTTTTCCATAGTTCAATATTTTTTGGCCAGTTCTTTGCTGAATTCATTTTATCTCAGGTTGCATTGGACCTTTGATAACTTTCCCACTTTCAGTGCAAAGGGTACTTTTGAAGCTCTTGTTTAACTCCATGGTGTCTTTGAAATTAAATTGTTCACAGAGGCCATCTTTATCTGTGGAAAAGTCACTTCCTGAGAAACACATCCTGAAACATTCTTGTTCATGAGATAGTTGTAGTGACTTCTGTTTCTGAGTTTCTCTCCAGAGTGGACTGCCAGTTCCTTGTGCAATTTCTCTGGTTTGATTCTCAGATCACCAGGACCCTCTGGAGATATAAACAATTTAGCTGCTTCCTTTGTAACTTATTGTTGATTTGGCCTGAAGCCCTTTCATTTAATTATGAGCAATAAAGGGACCTCAGCCTGTTTTGTAAGGACTAACCGTAGAGAAGAACTTGGCTGTAGTGCAGCTGAAAATGATAGACAGGCCTCTGGAGGGTCCTTTCTTAAGCCCTTTGCTCCTCTTGGGCATTGGAGAGGAGGAAAGCAGCCTGACTACCACCAAATGCAAGAAGAAGCTAAAATCTTACGATGATAGTTTTCTTTTGAAGCTACCCCTACTACTGAGTTGGTCTTGTTTATAGGCTTGATGCCAAATCAATCCTTATTAAGTAATACAGGCTGTTTCTTGCTATTCTGCTGTTTGTTTCTACACTTGCACTTGAATGTTATAGTAACATTCTCTGCTAGAACTGGGCTATTGTTGAAATGTTTAAAGGAAATGTCTTCTGGAATTTTAGGATTTTTACTATTTTTCTCCTCTGTTCTATTAACAATTCAGATTGACAGCATCTGTTTCTCTTTAATACAGTTAGTTACTTAGAGGAAAATATTTATCATACAAAAATCAAGCATTTTGGTCATGATAGTAGAGTTCATCACCCTCCTGCAGAGCTATGTGCTTTTAAAAATCATGTCTCTGTTCAGATGCCTTTTGAACTCTTGAGCACATCTGGGTTTGAGATTAATGCTGTGTCTGGAACAGGGACAGGATCCACTTATGGAGGATCTGTGGAGCAGGATCTGAAATGACATTATAGTAGCTACTAGCTAGTTCCCTGCGCTTTAGCTAGGGCACTCGCCACTTCTCTGGAGCTCAGGCAGGGATGATAGTGTCTTGAAGAACACAAGATTTTTATTCCCTTTGTGTCTCTTGTAGCGTCCTGTGTCTGCGCAGTCCCGACCAACAAACACCAGACTGGTAAGTACTGGGCTTTGCTCAGCTCCCTTTACCAGTGTACAGGATGCCATTTCAGATGTTAATGTACAATACTTTTGACGCAGCTGATCCCAAAATATATTATGCATCTAAGTAGCCTAAGGTGGAAGGGGGGAAAAGTAGGAGATGAGAAAAGAGGTAAATAGGTTCTGGAATATGTTTCCTTGCAGCGGGAAAAAGAATAGCTGAGCATTAGCATCAGCTTTAGCAACTTGAAAAGAATGCAAAAGAGGTTTGCTGAAAGACTAGATCAGCTCTTAAACCTGCAGGTATTTTTGAATAAGTTTGATTTAAGTTTTCAAAAATAAAGATAACACTCTGTTATCAGATGACGAAGACAATGGCAGCACAATATATATTGTTCAGGTTGGTCATTGAAAGGGAAAGTGCAGAAGTAAAGGAAGAGTTGATGAGAGCAGGAGTGTCACTTATCAAAAGGAAGGAGGAAGACATTTTCTGTGTACTACAGGGCACAGAATAAATCTTACTGAAAGAGGTGAATCTATTGGCAAAATTCATGTGATGCATCAACAGAAGTAATTACTGTTTGTAAAATAGTCATGTGAAAGAAGCTTGAAAAATTCAAGAGTTGATTGGATCAGTAATTGGAGAGGATGAGAAAAAGGACTTAAAGTAGAACTGCATACGTTAAAATAAGCCAGACTGATCCAACTTCCCTAGAAGTCAAATTTGCTACCCTTCTTGCAAGCCATATGGACAAATTGGTGTTAGTTTGCAATTATAAGCACCTGGCTGTGCAAGGACACAGTAGGCAGCATTTTGCTGCTGGGCTTCATGTGCTAGCGTTAGAGAGGTTACCTTTTTGTGAAGCTTCCCAGCAGGAAGGAAGGTAGGACAGATGGAATCATCTAGAGAGCTACTTCCTTTCATGGGCTGCCATTTATGTCTTTTTTTTTTTATAAGTGTAGATGAAGTTAAGAGAAAATATAAGCCTGGAAAAGAATCTAACTGAATAATGAGGTTTCATAGAAAACAGGAAGGATTTTTCTGATAGGTGCTATCAATGATTTGTGCAGTGAGAATCATGATGTGGGAAGCAGAGAGGCTTGCAGAATTTGGAGATGATTCAAAGTAGTTGGATTTATCTATACTTTTAAAAGATAAGCTGGGTCAAAGAGGAAGCAAGAACTTTTTGAAGCAAGAGACATTTCTGTGCTATAGCAGGAGTAGCGGGAGAGAATTCTGCAGGGAACTACCGAAGAAAGTTTGTTGTTGTTGTTTTGGGTTTTTTTTTTGTGTGTGTGTGTGTGTGTGTGTGGGAGGTTCAATAAAATAAGAGTTTTCCTTTAGCATTTTGGTGGTAGTTTGTGCACAGGTAGGAGCCAGAGCTTCTGTAGTCATAGTCCCAGTTTGCTGATACATAAACATGTATTTTCTATTTGTATCAAAACAATTAAGAAGCCTTTGAAGTTTTTCATTAGATAAGGAGATCATCTGATAAGATGAAAAATTTCCTACAGCATTCTCTTGAGTAACAATTCTCATGTGGTTGCTAATGGTGGCATCAGGGAATGGCTCTTAAGTAGAGGTTATTTAGAGATTTTAGAAGTTGTTAAAGCCAAGTTGTTGGGTTCTGCTTCAATTGTAAGAAGAAGTTTTGGAAGAAAACTTAAAAGCCTCTCAGTTTAAGGCTATGTAGAGCATCAAGCAAAGCGGCCTGGCTACTAACTTTTTTTTTTTTCCTGAAAATGCTTGTGTCTCCTTCTCTGTCATGTAGACTGTTGTGTTTGCTTTTGTTTTACTGATTCAGTTTTCATTAGGCTTAGCAAAATGTTTCATCTGGCACCTGCTACGTCAGTTTTCTGTTTGGATTTTACTATATCAATCACTGCTACATAGCCTGTTCTAGTACAGTCCCTGTTGCTTTTGCAGTTGCTTCACCTGCAGGTTCTGTGTAGCTTCTTGCAGTGTCTAATGGGACGTATGGGAGTGGAATTCAATTCCCATTCAGATAGTCCTTAGAAGTAAAGATTCAACTTGAGCTTACCCTAAGTATCCTTTGAATTTCAGCACTATGATATATATCACCAGACTTTCCTGAGTTAAGGTTTCTACTGTGTTTTTTCTCTCTTTTTAAATTAAGCGGATTCTGTATTACATTCTTGGCTCAGTAGGATGTCAACAGGGTGTTTTCATGTTGTGTAAAGGCAGGAGACCTTCTGAGCTAAACCCTTTTAATGTTCCTTTTCCAAAAGCAGTTTATGTGAATTTGAGGCTACGCCCATCAGAAGTGCTCTTGCGAACTTGTTCAAGGATTTCATTTTTTGGGATCTTGAGTTTTTTTATAGTTCTGTTAATGTAGAGATGCTTTGAATTCTTGTGCATTCCTATAATTGGTTAGAACAACACATTAAGAGATTTTCTGCAAATTACTTCTATTCTTTGTTTTTAAATTTGCATGTGTGCAAATTTGCATTATGTATCTGCATGTCTGTCTAGTGCAAGTACTAATAATTTGTGATCCAGCAACAGAGTAACAAAAGAATAAATATAATGGATATGATTTGAATCTTTTGTATGCATTTTTTTCCTGCAATTTTCTCATCAGTGAATTACCTGAGTCTGCTTTTCCAGTATGTCAGTACAGCTGGGACAAAATCATAGTTCTAGTTGAGGGGTGGATGCCACTGTACTTGAGGCCTTTGCATGTAAATCCTGGCTCCAGAACTCTTTGGCTGTGGATCTTTGTATGCTTTTCCTGAAGGGCCTGTGGGTGTGAATACTGGCACTGATGGCTCAGGTGTGAGTTCTGCTGTACAAAAAGCTAGGAATGTGAATGCTTGTGCTTAGTGCCTTCTGGGGATTTAATTCTTCGGAAGTTGGAGTGTGGCTATGTGAATTCTGACTGTAGTACCGTAGAGAGTAGACTGTGCTGGGCATGGGGCCCTGGCATTGGAATGTGACTTTAAAAAAAAAAAAAAAGTTTGAGAGGGGGAAAAAAAGGGAAAAATCTGGATTCGCATTGTCTCTACAGCGTGCCCGTCCTCTGTCTGCCAGTGATGCTGAAATGAAAAACCTGATGCCCTCAGGCAGGGAGAAAGCCACAGGAAGGCAAGGCAGCTCTGTGCTGGGTCTCTCCATGGAGGAAGTAAGTAGATGTTATACATCTTATATTTACCTTGGCTTTTTAAGTAGTCTGTGGGTGTATTTATTCAGCAAAGAACAAGTGCATGTGTACCAAAAAATAAAAATCACTTTAGAAAATGACTCATTTATTTATTTTAAACAAAACTGCTTAATTTTACTGCTAGTATTGTTCTTGTCCTCAGTCCTGCCAAGCATACACTGCACTCTAAGCAGTGGTAGACTCTTCCAGAATCTTAAGCGGAAGGTGAAATTGCCTATGGATGTTGCATGTACACATCGAACTCCTGGGACTGCCATAAATAGGCTTTTTATTCTCTGGAATTCAGCTGTTGTTCCAAGGTTTATTTTCCATTGTATCTGTTTTTCTAGTTTTTTTTTGTTGTTGTTTCCTCTTTCTGTTCCTAGATAAAAGTTCTTCGTCGCGTGAGAGAGGAGAATGAGCGGAGAGGAGGTTTCATCCGAATATTCCCTACCCCATCAACATGGGATCTTTATGGGTAATAATAAGTCTCCAATAAGATGGCTCAGTGTTGCACAGATTCTCTGTGTTGAAGGATATTCTGTGTAGATGCATGCAGATTAACAGTTAGAAGCATATCACAATCCTTGTTTAACGTTACATATAATTCTTTGTGCTGACATGCTTTTTCCCTGGTCCTTTTTTTAAGTACAGCCTCATTAAAGGCACCTTAGAGAAGGTTATTAAATGTCCTTTCACATATCCTAGTGCTGCTTTTCTGTCAGAATGAAAATGTATTCACCTTAATTTATCAATTTCTGTTATTTGCTTTCACCTCCTGGAGTTGTACATGCTGTGTGCTTTCTCATTACGCCATGAAGACAGTATAGGACTCATCTTGTAAACTCATCCAGGTTTTTCTTATTTGCCTCGGGTCTGTAATAATTCTCCAAGTCTCTTGCCTCAACACAAACTTTAGCTGAGAACTGATAGCTCCCCTTCTTTCCTCTTTTGTGATACAGCTTGTTGTCTCAATCTACTACTTCTGGGATATGTGGGTGTTGTTTTTTTTTTTTTTAAAAAAAGATGACTTCTTCCTATATTATGCTGCCCTCGACTGTGTTGAGCTTTGCCTTGATCTATCCTGTATTTTGTTTTTCTAGATCCTTCTTAGAGCACAAGACAACAATGAACTACATGCTGGCTACACGGCTGTTTCAGGACAGGTAGAAAGCTGTTGGATTTGGGAGGGAGGCAGGGGACACATACAGTTTGGAAAAAGACTTATCCCTCACTCCTCCAATGCTATGAACACCTGCTTGTGACTTACAAGGATAGAAGTAGTTGCACATCTCTTTCCTACTATGTCAGTGACTGTTTCTCCCATTGCAGTCAGGGCAAGAGCAAAAAGGACAGTGGGAAAAAGGCTTGTGAGCCATTACTAGGAAAGAGGAGACCGTAGATGTGAAAAGCCTCCAAGCACCTATATTTGTTTGGAGTTGGAGGTCCTTGCATACTTTTGATTTCAAGCTTATATTAGAGCTTTTCTTCCTGTTTAAGTAAGCACTAAAATTTATTCCAAAGCTTTTATTATCCTTGCCTTTTACCTCCTGACCCGTGCAAGCATGGCTTGATTTGATGCCTCTCTGGGTAGTGCTTTGGTGGAAATAGTAGTTCGTCCTTGTAGTCGAACCTCCAATGAGAGTTGTATGCAGCATGTTTCACTATGTGTTTAGGCCTCCCTGCTTCAGTATTTCCTCTCCAAATTTGAGTTCTGTAATAAAGCAACTGTAGAAGTTGACTGAGAAGGATCTAGAGAAGTTCTTGCAACAGCACTGTATTATTATTATTATTATTATTATTATTATTATTATTTTAAACCACATAATTTTGGGAATGTTTCTAGAGGCTAGCTCCAATTTGAGCTAGACAGATTCAGGTGTCTCTTATAGGCCAGCTGCTCAGAGTTCCTCTTTAAGAGCCATTTTGCTGTCCTTTAAGATAGGATTCACAAGAGTGTGGGTTTGGCCTTTTCATTTTATGTGTAAAAGACATTGGGGGCATAACGGAAGGTGACCTATTGCCCTTTTTTTCTTTATAGGGGCAAGTTTGAAAAAAAAAGGCTTGGTCACTGGGAGACCTTTTTAAATGGCTTTTAAAATAAATAATTTGTGTTTTTTAGGATTTACTCTAGATTTACACGTTCTTATCTCCAAAGTCCCTATTCTCTGAGAAACTCATCAAAATAAGAAAACATTGTGTTACTCCTACCCCTCACAAACATTTCTACAAAATAAATGCTGTGAATGAAGAACATTCCAGCATTTGGAGAGCTTAAATAATATTGGACTGGATTTCAGTGCCACTCCTTTTAGGCATACTGGCACTCCTACATATTGGTGAGTCTCTTGTGTGCATTCTCTTAAAAGAGACTACAACGCATCTGTCTTTTGGGCTTCATATACACACATATTCACTTTTCTGGATCCAAAAGATGAATGAAAACAAGGTTTCTGTGAATATTCCTACTTACACTGTTAGGAGCCACTTACTCGATCTTTCTTCAGTGACAAAGTTGTTATGTTTGTCTCCCCTAAGGAATCTGGCAGAACTTCTTTCTCCTTGATTTAGACAGAAATCGTAGAAAGGTTGTCCCTTTTCCCTTGGACTGCAATAAAATTCTTGCTTCTGACCTAACAAGGAAGAACAAGCTGAAGGTTGTCAAGGTTGGATTCAGGTCCATGTACACCCTTCTGTCTTCTCCTCATCCTTTGTAATCCTGGAGCCTAGTTCAGGCTTGCTTACTAATTATGCCTTGAGCTACTGCATATCAAATAGAAGCTACTTAGTTATGAGAGCATGGTGCTATATATGTGCAAGCATTTATAGGCTTTACAAGCAAGATATTTAAACTGATCATAATATTTCATCACTATGCCAGGAGAAATGTGTGGGTTTTTAAAATTTATTTTATTTTTATTAAATACAGTAAGACTCTTAGATCATTAGAGAGAGAATTAAGTGTGGGATTGAAGTTGTCTGTGTATTATGCTTCCTAGAGCAGTTCTTAATGGAAAGCTGGATATGAAGTTGGAAGCTGTGGATTCTAATGCTCTCCTGTATGAGAGGAAGCTTATTTCACTGGAGTTACGGAAGCGCAGGCGATGTCATGGCAAGGCACGAAGAGCACGGATGAGATTGTCAGGTATGCATGGCTTGAAGTTCAGACACTCAGTTAAAAACAAGCAAGCTAGGCCTTTTTCATTTGAAGTCTACTTAGGTGATGTTAGCTCTGGCTGTTTTAGTCCCTAAAGGAATTCAGTGGCCAAAGTTAATAGCTTTCATTTTAAGTGTTAATAGTTTTTCATTTCATTTCTGGGCTTCCTGCCTTCTTATGTGCCTAGAATTCCATTCCCACTATTCCATGTCATCAGATGTGTGACTGATGGTAATCAATGTTTTCTTCAAGATGAGCTTACAATTGCATTTTTAAGTGCAAGAAATCAACAGTTTGTATGTGCCTCTGTAGTTCACTGCTTTTCAGAAAAAACAAAATGTATGGAAGCTTCCAGGCTGGAGTTCCTACACAGCAGTGAGGAATAATAAGAGAAATGCTGATGATGATGTGGAAAAAATCTCAAAGGATGCAGAAGTGAAAGTTCCTTACAAATGGTTGTTTTTGAAGCCTTTATCTCAGCTCTTCTCAGTAACTACCTGATACAGCATTGTGTGATGTTGTTGGTAGCATGCGATATTTTTGGTAGTATGTTAGGAAGAAATGTATGTAAGTTGTATTGGTGCATATGAAAGTTTAGGGGTGTTAGCCTTGTTTTTTCTGACACAAGAAACAAAAGATGAGCGTGCGTGTGTACATATATACATATGTACATATATATAGGAACTCAAAGTCTACAAAGGTGTTTTCCTATGCTGTAGGAAAGTACCTCTGTTTCTTTCTCTGTAACATGAAGAAAATAACCTTTTTCTTCTGACATTGGAGGAATGAGCTCTTCAGTAGTCCAATACACAAGCAGAAAGCCAGACAGAATAATGATGTGCATGATACTTAAGAGTACTTAATGATGATGACTGTCCTAACAAAAAAGTCTGTAAGAGTAAACAAATGGTGTGGGCGTCAGGATAGTCTCCCTCCACTCTTCCTTTTTTTCTTTCTTTCTTTCTTTCTTTTTTTTTTTTTTTTTTTTTTTTTTTTTTTTTTTTTTTTTTTTTTTTTTTTTTTTTTTAAGAAAACAAAAAACACACACACTGGTATATCCCTATTTTAGGGACATCAAAACCCACAAAGCTACCTGTCAAGTCAGATACAGAGGGTGAGGAGGAAGAGGAGGCAGATGAAGATGAAGATGGAACTGCTAGCTCTCTTTCGGGGACACAGGTGAAGAGCAAGACAAAGCTCTCTGAACTGGTAAAAGCTGGTTGCCAAGAGAACATAGTGAAAAAACTTGACAAGAAAACTGGAGAGAGAGAGTTGTCTCCTGAAAAACCACAGCCAGAATCTCAGTTTAACTTGTTGCAGATTCTTCAAGAAAATGGAAACTTAAGGTGAGAGATTTATATGCATATTGCTTTTTTTTTTTTAGCAGCTAATATCAAGTAAAATATGGATGCTGAGATATGCACTTAGTTACACATTGTGAATATGAGTATGTGGAGATGGTGAGAGTTTAGAGATATGGACTCGGATTTTTATCTAACTGTGGGCTGGCTTAGCATCCAGTAGGCACAAAAGGGAGATAACTGTACAGACCTACAGTTTACTCAAATACCTGACCCATTGAATCAGTATAAAGGATAAACTGTAGTTTTCACTGATGTCCTTTAATCTGATGTGTTAAATTGTCCCTTGGTCAACTCAGGCTTCTAAAATAACTTTCTGCCTTAATGGAAGGTGCCTGCTATTGCCTGCTAAATTTGTTTTTTGCCTTCTTTATATTTCCACTGAAGTGTGTATCAATATATGTTAAACCATCCAAGAAAAGTTGAGAATGAATATTTGAGCACTGCCTCACCATAAAAATATAGTTTTATTGTTTTTTTGTGCTTTTATTTTTGATGATGGAATTTTTACCTTTAAAAACACTCTGTGACTTTCATGATGTCACCATCTCCTAAAAGCATGACAAAGTCACTTGAGAGTGATAAGTTATTGAGATATCTCATTGCCTGCTGTTGAGAATGAAGTGGACCAGGATGTGTTTTGATGCATGGCTCAGTGGCTCAGTGGGAAATCGTATGACCCACTAGGTCACCAACCAGGGACCTAGCAGATGTTTAGAACAGCGATTCCTTTTTTAAGTAAGAGGAGTACAGCTGTGTGGAGAAGAAAGGCAAAGATAAAGGGGGAGCATATATATCTGTGTAGGAATTCACATCTTCTGCATATGAAACAGTATTATGTTTTGAGCAAAAAAGTCCACAGGAAAATAATTCTAGTTGATTGCTGCTGCTTTCCTAGTTAAGTTCTGGGATGATTTAAGAAGGATAAAAGATTTGGGGATTGTTCTGCTGCCTTCTTGTGGCTAAGGCATTTGCTGCTGTCACATGGGAAGATTCTGAAACCTGTTTCCAGGACAGGCATAGCAAGGCTGAGCTCACCTACCTATATATAGCAGCAGCTCCTGCCAAGAATGCCAGATCTGTCTGATGTTCTCAGCACCCAGTGCTGCTGGGATTCCCCTCAGAAGTGTCAGGCTTGCAGTGACTTCATTTACCAGGATTGTGCTGGGCTTAGCCCCATCTGATCTGTCACTGTTGAAACTTTTGCAGCAGGGTCAAGAGGCTGAGGAGCTGAAGTAATGAAATTTTCTGCTGAAAGAAACCAGGCCTGTTCCAGTCAGTTCTTTCTAAATGGCAGGACTTCTCTCTCTCCTTTAGCTGGCCCCATGAGGCAGTTCCTCTGCCCTCTGTACGTTGGGTGCTATTGGTAGAGAGGGTGATTTTGGAATGAAGAGTGTTCCCTTCATGCCATCCCCAGGAAAATTAAAAGTAAAGGAAGTTGCTTGTCATTCATTTAAGGCCTCTGGGCTCCAAATTCAACACACCAGTGTTCAGTGATACAATTTACCTCAAAGATCTTTTCCAGTTTTCCATTTTGGAATCAAAGGAATGTCAGCTGCAGACAAGAATTGTGTTAATGTGCTGATGTTGATAACAAAGGTCTTGAAGTCCTACCAACACCAATCTTGGAGTCTGCTCATAAAGTGTTCGATATACTTGCAGAACAAAACTCTCCAGAGAGAGACTTTCTTGATATATGGTGGCTTGATGTATGGAGTATTAATTCTTAGCTGAGTTTCAGAATGTTCTCCTTACGGCATTCCCTTCATGTGGGAAGAGAAGGTAGATTCGGTGACTGGAGTCAGGATAGGGAGCCTGGACGTCTTGCGAGGACTATTGTGTGTTCTGGAGCTCACTGGAATACAGAAATGAAGCCAGATGTTTTTATCTTGTATTTCCTTTTGTTAAAGTGCAACTGCTAAGATTATCCAAGTAGAGAGAGGATGTCATCTTGAGGTTCTTGTGAATTCATCATTTAACTAGCTTCTCTTTGGTCCTGTCGTGGTCTTTCAGAAGCATCAGAATCTAATGATGAAGCCGATGCATAAATACAATAATGCATCTTATTTTCACTTTGACTCTCATCTCCGTATGTATGTCTTAAGTTGATGCTGTGATCCTTTTAGCTGTCACAACTTTGTATAATTTCTATAACACTATAAAGAAATATCCCTGAAGTTTACTGGCATATTAAACAGGAAGACTACATTTGTGGACTGAGTTTTTGATGAAACTTCAGGAAATCTTGTACATGGAAGTGGAGAGCTGTTAAAGTCATGAGGACAACATAAATATCTGGAAACAGAGAACAGAAATAAATAAAAATGGTGGAGTTTCTCGGGAATCAGAAATCAACCTGATTCTGATTTTAATTATCAGTTCAGGAATTACACAGAATGTGGAAATGCGCTAATGAAAAAGATTTGGGAGTTGTCAGAAAACAACAAAGTATGCAGAAAAGTATTGGATGACCTTGAGGGTAGGAATAATATGAATAAGATGGTATTCAGTAGCATAAAATACAAGGCTGTGCTCTTAAGTAATAGTTTATAGCAGGAATTGTATCACCTAGGTGTTCATCAGTGGATAATGATTTAAAAGAAGAACTATCATGCATACCTGTTAATCACAGGAGGTTTGTAAAGCTCTGGCTCATACATGAATGGAAGTGATGAATGTGGTCTAGGTCGTATAACTGAAGATACTTCCCTAACTCCACTGGAAATTTTATTGTCATTGTACAAGTCTCTGATGAAATTTCATCTGGAATGTTATGTACAGCTCCTATCACCCATGTTCAAAGAAGATGAACTGTGGCTGAAACAGACAAGCTGCTAGTTACATCAGGTGATCACTTTTTTCTTCAAGGGGAGACTAAAATATCTGCACAGTTCCCACTCAAAGTGAAAGCTAAGAAGGAATATGATCGCTATTAATGAGTACATTCAGGGTAGGAGACACATCGGGGTTTAAATTTTTAAGTTATAAGAAGACATTGGAGAAGGAGCAAGCTGATGAAACTGGGCAGGAATTAAGCTAGTCTGGGTAGTAAAAGAAGGTTCATAACTATTAGAACCATGAATTCTGGTATAGCATTCCAGAGGAGTAATGGAGTGAAAAATCTAGTTTGTTTTAACATGAAACTTGCTAATTTTATACAAGAGATTATGATATTGCCTGTGATAGAACGGGAATTGGTCACTTACTCTAAACCCCATCTGCTTCTATGTCCTTTTGAAAAGGAAAGGAAAAATCATGCGGGGCAATGCCAGGGAGAGCCTGTAGTGACTTTGGAGAGGAGCTGTAAGGAGGAATGGAGAGAGGCAAAGCAGAACTTGGAGAGGAGGTCTAAGCCAGGATGACAAGGGACAGAATTAGGCAGTTTTCAGGATTTTTTTTCTTGTAACCCATGCGTACACTAAAGTGACTACCACTGTGAGGGGATAGAATCAGTGTGTCCCTCCCAGGCCTCTCCTCAGTTTACGCTCATGGCTTCCCAACATGTTCCGCCAGCTGTGGAGCAGATTTTGCTGATTATCTTTCGTTCTTCACTGGGGCCTTGCTCAGTGAAATGTGGCCTGTGTCCTTGGGCCAGCAGCGAAACAGCTCACTTTCACAGGCCTAGTTCTTCCTTTTCCAATGGGAATCGCAGGGTCTTTGTTACAACTCTGGCACTGGTACCAAGTCCTTTATTTTATGGTCTGTTGTTGTGGTGTTTTAAATGCTTGTGAAGACAGGGTCCCCAAGAGAGCTTATGACTGGATTTAAAAGTACTCAGTTTTGCTGATGTTCAGGCAGTTGGCTTTTGGAGAAGAGTTGTTGGCTATGAAAAAGCAAGGAGAGCCTTCTCCATTTTTAGAGATGGTCTTAAGAGACAGCAGAAGCTCAGAATTCTATATCTTGCAATTCCTTCCCTCTCCTGGTAAAATGAATGTCCCCTTGAAAATTCTGCTTGGGTTTAAGGGATTCTCCTGTCCTTGAACTTAAGCATTTTCGCACCTGTGTTCCTTACTGATTATGTGTCGATCTGTAACCTGTGCCCGACTGCTTCAACCCTTTCTGTTGATATTCTGAGGATGTCTAACTGTTCTTCTCTTGGTCCACAGCAAAGTGCAGGCTCGCAGAGCTTTCTCTGCCTACCTGCAGCATGTTCAGTTGCGACTCATGAAGGAGGTCGGTGACCAGATCCAGAATGCTGCCTGGGCTGCCAAAGAGGATGAGCAGATGGTAAGAAACTTTGTGTTAGTCCTGAAAAGCCCAGCTGAAATCTTCTAGAGAGTTTTGAGGTCAGTTCCCATTTCTCAAAGAGGTGCAGTCTTTGATATTTTACTTGTCTACTGAGTGTCCAGTCACCGGTGCTATTTTTTATTAGCTTATGAACCATGTAAAAATGCTGAGTGTCAGCTAAGTGGGGATGGAATAGATAGCTCTTAATAACTAGATGGATGAGTAAAAATGAGGTACTTTCTATCTTTTTTTTTAAGGCTTTATGGTCTCTAGGCAGTATTTTAAAGTTTCTACCTTTTGTAGACTGCAGGAAGCCAGATTCCCTCGCAAACCTTCTGAAGGAGGATGGGTGAGGAGGGGGAAAAGCAGCACTAGACTCCTGAGTTTTCTGAGGACCCAGATGGGTTCTTGATGAACGCATGTTGCAGGGAAGCAGTCAGTGCAGTTCGGAGATAAAATTGTTTGTCAAGAATAATCAGTTGACTCAGTGGAAAATGTTACCCCTACTCTTTCCAAGTGGAAAATTAAAATGGGCTTTTTGAGAGTCACTTTGTCTGCTGCTCTGTGAAAAATAATGTTTAAAATAACAGATCAAACCAGCCTGCTGTAATGGCAGTGAGAGGCGAGCTGTGAAATTTAATAGTTTGGCTGTGAGGCAGCTCATTTATGCATTAGCAGAGCTCCTAACCAAAAGTAAATCCAGAGGGGAGCAAGCTTTCCACATACCCATTGGATGCCTTTTGCCTTGGGATATGCCTTGCTGTGTGTTTCCTATGCTATTATATGGTCATCGATATAGTCATCTGTTGCTGTGGAGAGATGTGATAGTAATGGGCATATACAAACACTGATGAAATGGGGCCTAATCACTGCAGTGGAGCTCTCCAGTGAAGATGGCCTTCCCTGTCATGGGCCTGAAATGCTTTATGTCAGTATGTTTTGCCACAGGACTCTTTTAGCACATTACAGCTGGTGGGTTTTATTTGTTTGTGTTTTGGTGTTTATATATATATATTGTCTAAAGTATTGCCTTTACAGGTTATTTTTTGTTGTTGCTGCTTTTTCTAGTGTGCTACATGTTTTTTCAGACAAGTATTCCTAATTCTGTCCCAACTCAGATTAGACGCATCATCCTCCTTTTCCTCTGTCTTGGGTTTATATGCCTAAGTTAAAACTGCACATAGAGAATGTTTCTGTCTGCCATTTGCCCATTGACTTTCTCCAAACAGTGTTTAGTTCTTGCCAGTCAGGAGCTGGTGTTGCACCTCTGTTCCCCTCTCACCACATTTTGCTGTCCCATCAGATCCCCATCTCCTTTGCTCGCAGGAACTCGTGGTGCGCTTTCTGAAGCGAGCAGCCAGCAACCTTCAGCACTCCTTGAGGATGTTGCTTCCCAGCCGCCGCCTAGGCCTAAATGATCGGCGACGCATCCTGGCCCGCCAGCTGGGCGAGTTCATAGTCTGCTATAACAAGGTGAGTGATTTCTTCTTGGATTTTTCTTTTGGTAGCTCATCCCACTCAGCAGAGGACTAAGTTGCTTAGTTCGTTTGTGCCTGAAGTGCCCTCAGGCTTCGCTGCTTTTAGTGTCACCACAATGTGCCTTGTGATGCATAATAGAATGTTACACATATGTATGTTTTATATGTAAAATATTATACTTCCCATTAAACCAGTAACCAGTGCTCATCAGCTCCTTTGATTCCAGCAGCAGTAGCCACCATGGATACTGCATATTAAGGCTCAGGAGCTGGATATAATTTACTCAGTCATAGATAACTATCAAGTCATTAAGGACTTCCAAAGCTTGGAATGCCTTTTGTTTAGATCCAGATTTTTGTACCTAACTTGGGTAAGAAAGTGTCATAAGGCATCTCACCCTAGTGCTGCTGGTGATTTGTTTTCTGGTATCTTCCTCTAGAATACCTGCTCTTGGCTCTTGTCATAGTCAAAAGAGCAGCCTGTTTACGGGGTATGTTCTGTAATTTATATGATTTCTTTGCAGATGCACATCCAGACATGGCAGCTGTTTGTTCAAATTGTAAGGTAGACAACAGTATTACTACATTGTGTGTGTAGTGCAGGAATCGTGCATATGAGATTCCTTAACTTTATCAAAGTGTTGATCAAAAAATGCAGGCTTAGAGGTGTGTTTTACTGACGTGTCAAAATGAAAATAAGTCTGAATGTTTCTATGGATGTCAATAAAAATAGATGTTTTATGAGGTGGGATTTTAACTTGGTTTCCTTTGCCTGGCCTTTGTTCTAATGCTTTGTGTTGCCTTTTCCCATTTCTCCTTATTTTTAGGATGCTTCTCTAGAGATAATAATTTTTATCTATATAGTATGTGGAAAAATGTATTTTACCATTTGTTTCATATACTGAAAAGAAATGCAAGTCAAATTATGAGGAAATTCTCTAGCGTGGAATTCTGCATGCTTCATGACAAGGAGGTTTAAGTCCTATTTTAAATAATTTTCACCTCTTTCGGTACAGAAGATGGTGTTCTTAACATAGTGGTTTCATGTTGATCCTTATTTAAGACCACCAGCTCCCCTTTTCCATTGTCCCCTGCTCTTCCTTTAGTGTTAGAACAAGGTGAGTTTGAGTGGCTGCACGCGAAGGTCTCACCTCCCACTCACTAGGAAAGGGTGGCCACCCGTGGTACCTTCTCAGAAGTTACATGTGGTAACTGGATCTGTGAAAGCAAGGCCGCTATCCACCCAAATCTGTTGCAGGGAGCGCCTTGTGCCTGCTGCTTGCTGAATGACTGTGTTGGGAGCAACCACAAAACACCCGGGTGGCTCTAGTGAGTGAAGAACACAGCTGCATCAGATGTAATTTCAAAACAAATTGTATTAAAACATTAGGATTTTCTGCTAACTCTCTATAAATTCACAAAGTAAAGCCTTATAACTGGTAATAAAGAATTTCGTAAACATATTTTCTTAGTTAAAAACAAGTGAGAACAGATCACTTGAGCTTTAAAACATACACTTTAAACCTATTGAGAGACTATTAGGCTGCAATTCTTTTTTTCATGTTTGATTCCAACATATAGACTACTTTCACTGACTTGAGACCGCAGATTTAGCAGAGTTTCTACTAGCCACTATATATCTTTTATATGGCACAGAAGGAAAAAACACTGTCTTCAGCAAGATAAGTAAAACAGATCAACATATTGTCAAGACTTGTACTAAAGTAGTGAAGAATAGGGACATGTCCCAGAGTGGCTTCCCCCACCCCAAAATTACCTTTTGCAAGACGTATTTGACCCTCTAGTCCTGGTAAAGCTGGGAGTTAGCAGCATGGACCAACAAAATGGAGGCTAAGTCTGCCTACTATCTGTTGATATCTGTATTTCAGACAGAGCTGTGAATTTTTATTTTTTAATTAATAATGGTTTTATGAATGTAACCTCTGGTGTCAAAAGTTCTACTATCAAAAAAAAATGAAGATATCTCATAGCTTGCTTCCATTCTCATAAATGTTTATCATAATTTATTCTAATATATTCTAGTTTGTAAATCTATATTTGCCGTATGTTGTACTGTTTTACTTATTTTGCTGTTACTGAAGCAATGTATATAGACCAGCCCTCAAAAAATGCTGCATGACAAGAGAAGTTAATTAAAGGGCAGAAGCTCTAGTTCACAGTAAAAATACCCACTATAGTAGGTCTGGATACCCACTACGGACTCTTCTTGGTGGAGTTTCTCCAATATAATCTTGTATTTTTGTCCTCCTTCTCTTCCAAATATCCTCTTCTAAATACTAGACAGAGATATTTGAATATAAGCCCTTAGGAGGAAGCCTACACTGGGGACAAAAACATCAGAAATGGAAAGACCATGTAAAGGCTTCAAAAAAATGATACTTTTTTCTGCTCCACATTCCCACCTGTCTCTGCAAAGGGTGTATTTGAAGGAGCAGCATATACCTGTAAGGCTTGGAAGCTTCTCAGCAAATCAGTTCTAATAGGTTATGTCAGGCTGACGAGTCAGGAATTTAGTATCAACTTGGCTTGCCATCTCTGGGGCTGTCTGCATTCACCCATTCTGTTGCATGTAGTTGAATTGCACTTTGGCTCTTTGTAGAAGATGTTCTCTCTCCTAGATCCTGTGGAATTGCTTTTTGTGTTCTGAGCTGTGGATGTGCTACAGAACATTGAGTAACTGCATAGAGACACTTGCTAATACTGCTTATTCACAGGAAACAGAGCAGATGGTTCAGAAACGATCAAAAAAGAAACGGGAAGAGGAGGTGGAGGAGGGAGTGAATGCTGAAGGTTTTCAGAACTTTATTACAAGGGCAAGGTAGGAATGGATTTTATTTCTTTTGGTAAGGAATCTCCTAACCCTGAAGAGGATGGTATTGTGCCATAAGACCTGGCTGACCTTTGGATCTGCTCCAGCTATTGCTGGGAGGCAAAAAAGTGTATTTTTCTCTCGTTCTTTCCCCCCTTCCTTCTAGCAACCAAGCACTTGTGGTACCAGATGCTGGTGCCTGGAGGAGGACATAAAATAGATATTTTGATCATTAAGTAGATACAGAAGACTGCAGTAGTTTCCCTGACCTCTCTGAAGTCCAAGCTGATACTTGTGAGCTAATGATCTCCTTTCCTGTGGTGCTGCAGCAAGTGCAGTAGTCCTTTGGAAGGAGAATACAGCTAAGGCTGCTGCCTAACTGGTTTTGAACTGTTGTGTAGCAGTTCTGGCTCTTAAGTTTCTGCTCTCAGGGAACAGATTCCCTTGATAGCTGTCTTTACTTCCTGAGATAAGGAAGGAAATGAAGTATACTCACTTCTTCATCCTAGCCTCTTATCCTGCTAGCAAGCAGGATAAGGAAGTTAAGGAAGTTTAGTGCAATCAGTTAATTTCACATTGAAAAAGGCAACATTTTCCAATTGCATAAACTCTGGTCTTAAGTTTGTAAAAATCTGGTAGGAAATGTGTTTTGAAAATGAGGTGAATCCCCTTTATGCATATGTATTCTATAGTATATTTTAATATACTTTTAATATTTTAATATATAATATAGTATATTTTATGAGCATTGCTTGTGCTTGTTACACAGCACAGAGAATGAACACAACACTGGAGAGAATAGAGGATAAGTGTTGTCAGAGTGAACATCTCTAACATCATGATAGGGTGTTTTAACATGGATGTATTGTGTTTACATGCTATAACTATTGCCTCTGAACACTGCAAGTGCAGTGTAAATATATACTCAGGCTGGTAATTCACAGTAATCTATGACAAATATACCATATTAAAAAAAAAAAAAAAAAACCTTAAAGATATTTTCCATCCATCCGCTCTTCACTCTTACCATTCCTCTTCATCTCTGCCATCTCTGTTCTCAGTGCTTGGAAGAAAAGGTATACTTTACAGCATGCCCTGAAGGTCCAAGCAGCAGTGGGATCAGCTTTAGACATAGCCAGCCTGAACTTTGGTAAAAGCAAAGACTAATACAGGTGTGATATGCAGAGGACATTGTGAAGGATTATAACTACTACTGTGCAAATTTATATTCCTGTGTTATGTTCCACTGTTATGCCCCTGGCACTATCCTTCTAGCTCTCGGTGTCCACTGTGCCATATATTCACTTACACTAATGCAGAGGCAGCTTTGTAGAACAAAAAGACAGGCAGGAACTTAACAACAACAAAAAAAGGTAGTGGTGGGGGGCGGTGTTAGAGTTTGCCCAAACACTCTAATCAGTGGCCAACTAACTGATACTGAGGGGCAATAGAGGCATAGGACATGAGAAGCATATGCAAGTTTTCAGCTTCACAAACATACTGACTGTTGTGCTTGTTTGTCCTGTGGTTTTGCTAATTAACTAGCTTTTCCCTTATCCTTCCACTCCTCCCCCACTGTTGGACTGAAACTGCTAGTGATGAGTGTGAAGCAGCAGCTGAGCTGACTTCCCTTATGAAAGTGATAATTACTGCTTCTGGAGAGCCCCTGGGGAAGTTTCACTAGTTTAGCTGAGAAGTGAATCTCTCCTATGCAGCAAAGCACCTCCAAATATATTTGGAGTTTTCAGTTGTTCTTTTTTTATCCTGGGGAAGTTCCTGATTTCTGAATACTTTGAATTTTCCAGTTTATAAAAGAATGGTGTTTCAGTGGGAATTTTGGTTTAACCAAGGCATGCTCCATTCCCACCACTCTAGCCCTGTAGGACTGAGCAATTCAATAGGTTGTCTGGCCTTGCCCTTTTTTTTTTTTTCCCATTCCCTTTTTAGCTTCCTTATCTTCTGACCTCTTTCTTCATACATGATGGCTTAGAATCCTCATGTAGGTCCTTTCTTCTCTTGTTATTGCAGTGAGAGTGACCTGGAAGAAGTGCTGACATTTTACACCCACAAAAACAAGTCAGCAAGTGTTTTTCTAGGAACAAATTCTAGAACCCCCAAAGCGAGCAACAGCATTAACCACTCAGAGATTCAGCATCAAGGAGGTAAGTGTTGCAGGTAGTTCTGAGATGATATTGTCCAGACTAATCCAGTTTTTATTTTAATCTGTGGAAAGCCAGCATCACTTCAGAAATGTGATTTAGGTCTTTGGAGGTGGCACTCTGTTCTTCACTGGTTACATACATGTAGACAAGAGCATCTGCATACCTAGCTTCTTTCCCTGGGGTGAAATGGAATGAACACAGGCTAGCTTACATAAGATACTGGCCATTCAGCCCTATTCATGTGGTATCATAATTCGAAGTGTTCTATTTTATAACTCCCAGATCTTGTTACAGAACGTCCTGAAGTAATGAAAGAAATAAAAGGTGATCATGCCCAAAGTTCAGTTAATCTGCCTGCCGAAGAAGCAGTAAGAGGCTATAAACCCAAAGAAGTTAAATCAACAAGTAAGTAAATGATCTTCAATAATTTTCAAGAAAGTCATGATGAATGTACATGCTGTTTTAAACAAACAGTGAGGTTGGAACCTGTGGACAAAAACAGACTGAGGGGCCCAAGTTTGAGGAAGATTCCCCAGGTTTTTCTTTTAAGTTTGAGAGTGTGTGTGTGTAGAGTGAGCAGTGTGAATAAATTAGCTGCTGTTAGCTAGATATGTCAAGCTCCAAAAGAGGATGTTCCTCATGTAGAAATTCTTGTCCTTGCTGGTAGATGATGTCATTTTGACTTCAGTGAGTGTATGAACAGTGATATCTTGGGTGTGTTATCTGATGGACCTGGAAAGCATCTTTTCTCATGTAATGTGCTCACTGTCTTTGTTTAGCTCCAGAAGAATCCACCTTAAATGCTGAAGTGAAATTACCTCGCTGTGGCCCTGCTAGTGCTTCCTCCTCTGTTCCAGATGCCACTTCCCAGAGAAATACCAGCTCCCAGTTACCATCTCAGTCTGCAGCCTCTGCAAGTCCACAGATGCCTGGTCACTATACATTGCTGACTCCTCCAGTTGGTCCTAGACTGATTCAGTCCCCATCTTCCTCACCTCCTCAGACCCAGAGCACAGCCCCTGACAGCTCTACTGTCTTCACAAACACAGTGTCCAGTGAGGCCTCTGGCCTTTCAGGGTTGCATCATTGCCGTTATGGTAGCTACACTGTTAATCCACTCTCGTCTCTTCAGAGAGCTGCTCAGATCTACAGCCAAAGATTGTCCCAACCATCCTCTGCAAAAGCAGGTGAGCGTTTTGGGAGGTATAGTAGGATACCTGCTAGTTTCATACAGAGGTTGTGTAGTCTCTGCTTTTTCCAGAACCGGTTGAAATCTCTTGCTTCTAAAACTGAGTCTTGTTCCACTAGTGTTAAATTTCATAAAATTCTTTGGCAACCCCTGAGTTTGCGAAAGATGCAACTTTATTGAGCAAATGAACAGAATTTACTAAGCAGATGAACAGAGAATTGAATTTGTTCCAAAGAGCTGGGAAGTGATATGTTGTTTGTCCTTGCTGGATCATATTGGTCTCTTGCTTGTTGTTAGTGATTTTAAGGTAGCTTTGCTCAGCGCGTGTCCTGTCTCAAGCTATATATAACTTGTAGTTCCTTGTTTTTTTCTCACACAGAGAAATCCTCTAAAAAAAAGGCCTGTACTTACAGATTTTTTTAAAGACTTGTCAGGTCCTCCAAAAAAGAAAAGACCTGAATTAGCAATATTTAAAAGATTCATATTGCATATCTTTCTCTAGGATCTTTCAGAACTGGCATATCCCAGAACATCTTACAACCAGCACTTAGAAATCTCACATTATTGTTTTCGGAGAGAACATACTTGAGTAATGCAACATTTAAAGTGTGAGCAATCTGAAGGGTAGGAGAAACTGTAGTCATTAGAGATTTACAGAGGCATACTGCTAGCTAATCATATCCAAATATTTGTTTGTCAGGTTTGTGCCGTCGCAGTCCAAGTAGACAGCGTGTGGGCTCAACCAGAATGCAGAAAGATCCAGAGGATGCCTCTTGCCATGGCAAGCATTATAGCCCTAGCATGGTAGCAGCAGAACTACAGCAGCTGTCAGAAAAGCAGGCAACCCGTCAGTACTCTCCGCTGAGCCACATCAGCCTCCTTACCCAGCAGGTATGTAAGCAGTAAAGCCTGAGTACTTGTGACAAAAGAAGCCTGGCAGAGGCTTCGGTATCAACATTGGGCTAGTGCGAGGCATGCTGGACAGGAAAAAGTCTCATGAAAAGAGTAACAGAGTAAAAAGTAAAGACAAGAGGTACTGCTATCCAATAAAGCCCTAATGGTAAAACAGTCAACGGAGGAGCAAAAATGTTTGTTTGCTTGTTGTACAAGCAAAACTGGAGGAGCCAAATTGGAGTTTTCTCAGATTTTAGCAATCTGGGAGGCTGTTATGGATGTGGATATGAAACAGAGGGATAGAATTGATAGGAGAGAGGTTAGGAAGATACAGAAAAGGTTGGCATTTTGAGAAGGGAGATCTACAGAAGTGTAAATACTGGTGGGGTTGTGTGAGCACTGCATGGTAATGGATGTGGGCAAACAGGTATTTGGTCTTAAATAGGGCTGGGAAAGATAGGGATAGAAAGATGAACATGTGGGAGAGTATTTAGGGAAGAGTTGGGAAGAAGTGAGAAGTCAAAGGGCGCTGGATTGGATTGAAAGGGGGAATGACCCTTGAGATCAGTGTTTCGTAACTCAGCTTTCAAACCCTTATGTCTTTGTCATAGGAGAAGTGAGGGTTTGGGATCTGAGTGAGAGTTAGAGTTAGGCCTTGGAGTAAGATGGCTTAGTTGAACAGGGCATTAGTTTCCTATGAATTTCTGTCAGGGCACCCGAAATTGTTATTTCCCCCTTTTCATTCCTCTGTTTAGTCAGATATGATAGCTCTTTTAAAATTAAAGCATTCTAAAATAAATTGGTATAAAGACCACCTGTGGATGGATGAGAATATCACTTACCTAAGCAATGCAAATAACAGAATTGTTTAGAATCACCCCAGAAAATTTGTATTAGTATACCTGGTTTGAAGTACCTAGCAGATATTAAATGGACTTGATATTTCAATTTATTTATTGCTAATGGCAGGATTAGCACTATTGGTGTGGATATGTATGCAAAAGTAGGAGAGACCCTGGAAAATAGTGTGTTTCTGCTGTTTCTTTCCCAAGAGCAGCTTCTGCACGCTAACGGAATGCCTTTGCCTCGGGGCTGTGTTGCGTCCAGCTGTGTCGAGGCGCCTGCGTACTCTGAATATGTTACCTCTTTCCAAGAGCAGCTGGGAAAGCTGCTTTCCAGTTCCTGTGAGAGTTTCTCCTGCTATCTGTATATTAGGTCTCTGGGGTTCCCAAGAATGTGGCCTTAACAGCTGTGCCTGGAATGGAGTTACCACTCTGGTTGGGAGTCCGCCTCCGGCCTCTCTAATCCCTGCTGCTTCTCTCTGCTTCCTCCTTGTGCACAGAACACCTGCTTCACATTTTCTCTTACACTCTTAAATTCTGCCTGCTGTATTACATCAGTTTAATTTATTAAGTCCATTGGCTGCTGAATTGACATGGTTCAAAGGTAAAATTGCAAGTGTAAATAGCTGAGGAGCTTTCAATGAGATATTTAAAATCTGGCTTCTTATAAAAAACAAGACTTCTTAAGAAAACAAGCCTTCTGTCTTGTCAGTCCTCTTCATTAACTTCTGAACCTCCAGACAGGATCTTCATAGTTACACTCACACCCACCCACACACACACTCACCCTCACCTCAAAAACCCCGAAAAACCCACCCAAAAAACCCAGTTTTTACAAGTTGGGAAGTGTGCGTGTGTGTCTGTGTGTGGTGGGGGGAATAGGAAGGAGAAGCCGTAGTGGTTTGCAGTTTCATTATTGTCTTGTACCATGCTTACTCTTCAGACAGTCCTTATGGAAGAAAAATGTATGTGTAAGCATGTGAGAACAGCTTGTGTTTAATGATTTTTGTATTTTTGAAAAATATATTTCATGATACATTATATAAAGTATCATCAGTGCCTCTCCATGCTTGTTACATGGAGAAGGCACGATTGCCCTCACAATGATATAAAGTATCAGTCTAGAATCTTAGGACCAGTATTTAATCCACTGAATCAGTATGTGATGCCTTGCTTGCCAGCTGCAGGACTGAGAGATGAACAGAAAGGAGAAAAAGGAGTATTGCATTTTAGACTAGAAAAGAAACAGATTTGGGGTAACTTTATAACTGTCTTTACTGATAAATGCAAGAAAGTTGTAACCTTAGAGATTCATTGGAATATGACAACCTTCAATTAGGTTATGAAGGATAAATACTCCATATTACAAACAAAGATGCTGAAGCTGCTAGGGAGAATCCTTATCATTAATTATAGCCATTGATAATAAGTTTTACTTTTTGCTTTTGAGTAATTCTATTCCACTGTATTCTAATACACAGGATTACCATTTTTTTGTGTGTATGATTACATAAAGTCTGATTTAAAAAAAAAAAAAAAAGTTGAGTAAATGCAAGCAATGCAAATTCTATACATGTACTCCCATCAGAAATCTTTAAAATACCGCCTGTTTTGTGCAGCACTTACATTCAATTACAGTGCTCTACAGTATTCAGAAGTAAGAGGGTGTGTGTATGATTAGCTGCCTAATAAATTTGGGAGCAAGCAATGCAGAGATCTGCTTGGAAATGTACCTCTCAGAATCCCAAACTAGCCAGATACATTTCTGGCAAAGTGGGGTAATAGGAGATATCTGAGCTGAGAGGGTCATGGCAGTGGGAGGGAACCCTGCCCAAATCCCCCAAAGCTTTGGCTAAATTTGTTTTAAAGATGCCATGTTTTTATCAGTTCTATGAAAACTGAGCGGATAGAAGCACAAGATCCATAACAGTGCTTCTGTTGTGGGCCTCGTGTCAAGTGATCAACAGAATCTGTGCTCTTTGGACTGCTGCCTAGTTGCTCAGAATACATAGATTCATCAGCAGTGAATGGGCTTTTAATTTAGATTTAGCTGCAACATGTGCAGTGCAACAGTGCTGCTGCTTGCTTGTAAGTTAGGAGACACTGAGGAAGAGATTTTAAAAATATTGTAGGGAGCAGGCTTGTAATTGGTGCAGACCTCCTTAATTCTGCTATTGATATATTAATTTATTGATATATTGGGGTTTACAGTCTAAGTCTGTGGATACAGGACTTTCAGGATAAAAGCATTAAGGATGTTTAATTTATTTTGCATTGTTTCTCATTTTAGTAGATTTAGATGCATTTTTTTCAGATAGTAAAGCTGAGCTACTGTGAGAAGAAGAGATAGGATAGGCAGAAATGTTCAGTGGGGCTCCCATGGCTGGCTCAAAATTCATCTAAGAATTTAGAAGTTCAGCAGTGAGGAGGCAAAGCTTCTAGCTAAAAGGGGTGGTTCATGGTAAAATTGGTCTCCATATCAGAGAACAGACAAGGCAACAAATGTGCCCATCTGTAGTAAAGACCTTTAAAGTCTCCTGTAAAGTGGCAAGCCTTACTGCAGTGTCAGATGTATATTCATGAAAAGCAAAGAAAGATTTATTTATTTATTTATTCTCACCTGCATGAATGTGCTAAAGACAGCCAAATCTCAATTTTTATCTGTTAGAAATCATTGAACAAAATAGCATATAATGGAACTAGTTCTTGTTGTTTTGTCTTTCAAGAAAGGTTTTGACAGACTTTCAGCAAGAGCTTGTTAAGCAGGCCAGGTATTTGCAGGGTGACAGTTTTGTTATAGATTAGAAACAGGCAGAGAGCAAGCAAAAGGCCATTTTTCAGTGCAGCAAGCAAATAACTGACCATGCAGAACAGAGAACACTCAAGAGTAAAATTAGATTTGAAAACAGGTGGTTAATAGAGTGGCATATTATTATCAAAAATGTGAGTAAAAAACAAGTTAGTGCAAGGTAATATAGGGCGTGAATTTACAGTAAATCAACTACTCTTTAGTGTTCATCCATGTGACCACATGTTTGTGCAGAAGTAAACATGATGCAACTCGTTACCTGCTTTCTGTTGACGTGGGCCAGAAGTGTCCAGATGCGCAATTACGGTGAAGCAACACGGAGCTGTAATCCTGAACTCTAGCCTACCTCATGCCTATTTCATGGTAACTCTTCAGTATGTCCATGTTCTTTTGTGGATTGTTATAAGGGAAAAAAAATAAAAATAGGAAAAAAATGAACCACTTCATCAACAGGAAACAAAATGGCAGATAAAATTCAGGGTTAAATAACAACAGATTACAAGCAATGATTTTAACTACTTTTAACCATAAGCTTTAATAGTAGTCATTCAGAGGAGAAGAAAGTTTTGTTCTGGAAAGCTCAGTGAAAACATGTTCTAAGTCAAGTTGTAAAGGGAGCAAACAAAATATTAGCATGTTTAAGGAACAGAGTAGGAAATAGCATGTAATTATATAAATGTCAATTAAAGGGTATCTTTCTTGAAAAAGTTCTGGTTGCCATTCCTAAATGGTTCAGGAAAAATAAATGGGATGCACAAATGAATGATTGCGAAGATTAAAGACATAAAGCATTTATAGCAAGAAAGTGAAAATATTCAGGTTGTTTAGGGAGGAGAGAGGCATGAAGGGAACTATGCAAGATGACAGGGTAATAATCTAGGTTTTGAGTTTCTTATTATATGAGAAGGGGAGAATTCAGTGGGAAAGCATCAGATAAACTGATAAAAACGAGTACTTATTGTCATGGAATTTACTTATCTTCCTGCACTTATTTTCTGAAACTTTCTGCAAGAAGATATCACTAAGGGCAAAAGCTGAACAGGATTCAGAACTGTACTGCGTGTAGATTGAAAGACTAACCAGAGTTATCTCAGATACAAAATGCTGCTTATTCTAAGTGATAGATCCCTAGATTTTCACTTGCAGAAGTAACAAATGAATTTTCCTTATAAATAACACATTTCACAGCTAGCTGCTTAGAAAATAAGGTCTCTTTTATCTTCTCCTGAAATGCATGCATCAGGATAGTGAGTCTGCTGGACCATTGCTCTGAACTGACCTTTCATATTTAACAGTGAGGAATGTGTGTGCTCTGCCCATGTATATGAATGTTTCTTTACTATGTT